ATATACATATAAGATTGCACAGATGTCATCTCCGATGCGTCTAATTTGCTCACGATGGTGAATCAGCACAGTTTTTGCTTCCTCATTTTCTTACGCTGGGCTGACTCTTGATAGAATAACGCTCTGTGTTGAACTGGATGTGCGCATCACTAGTTCAATCTTTATTCCACAACCAGTTCCAAATGCCCATGGATTTCTGTCTACCATTTCCAGAGTAATATCTACCATGAGAGTATTTCATGAAGTCTCTGTGCTACGGAGGCGCGGTTTTCTACGCTTGAAGCCTTGGACTTTAATCTCAAGTCTTGAAATTCGACCGCATGTACGGTAATTTCATTATTGAACGCCAAAATATTGCCTTATCTATAGACAACCACATATGCCGCAGCTTTGGGATGATACTATTCATCATATATTCGTTATTTGAATACATCACTGATCAGCCTCACATCCTTTCCACCAGTGCTTTCTAAATCCTTGACGATACCAATGTATATAAGTATTCGTCCAAGCTGGGATAGCCGCAATGGCAACAGAGATGAAAGCCAGGATAGGCTATCATAAGACCAGTCTGATACGATTAATCGACTTTGCAACATGGGCATGAGGCTTCTTCTACTCTTTGCTGCACTTCTTCATCTGGAGGTTAATGCTCATCTAAAATTGCTTTACCCGGAGCCTTTTAGCAATGGCACGCTCAATAATTCACCTTTGGCCTCAGATGGCTCCGACTTCCCTTGCAAGCTACGGCCTAATGCCTTTGGGGCCCCAACGGAACAAACATTCATACGCATCGGGGAAACCAACTCCTTGCAACTGGAAGGAAGCTCCACTCACGGGGGCGGATCTTGTCAGATAAGCTTGACTAGTGATAAGAGGCCTTCAAAGAACTCAAAGTGGAGTGTCATCAAATCGTTTGAAGGAGGCTGCCCAGCAAATGTCGATGGTAATCTTCAAGGAGGCTCAGAATCTATCCATGCGTTCAATCTCAATTTTGTCATCCCGGAAAATATTGCCCCTGGTGAATATACTCTCGCATGGACGTGGTTTAATCTCGGGTCGGAATCCGTGAAATGTATATGAACTGCGCGCCTATTACGGCTATCGGCGCTGCCGCAGAAAGGCAAACTAACAGCGGGTTAAAACAAGCTTCCACGTTCCCACCAATGTTCATTGCCAATATAAACGGTTGTACAACGAAAGAAAATGTTGAGATCCGATTCCCCCATCCTGGAGCATATGTCGAGTACAAAGGAAATCCCGGTTATCTGTCTTCTCCGGCCGACACAGCCTGTATGGGGACTCCTTCGTTCGGCGATTCCACGGAAAGCGTTCTCCCACAGTATTCTACGGATCCATATGGACAAACCGCCTTAGACTCAGGTTCTCCGCAGCCGAACTCTCATCTGGCAGGTTCATGTTTATCAATGTAATCCACTTTGACTATTTATTGGGCTGGATTTCCACTGCTTGCGTAGCTTTCCGCGATGGGATTAGGTAGTCTTAATGTGAGACCATAATCCAAATATATATCATTAACCAAATTCACCATTTTTACGTACACTATTCGCAGTACTATCCTCGCATTCACTGATTGAATATTGTAATTCATGTCCAGAGGCGTACGCCGCTTGGCTGGCTATAAGTTCTTGTGAAAGGACATTCTTGATAAGCTTGACATGAGAGACTTTTGAGTGGAGCAACAGATCAAGACGTGCCATCTCATATGACTGCGTGTGGTGCGTCTGTTCTGATATGTGTCCAAGATGAAAACGAAATTGCGCGTTTATGGCTGAATGGTGAAAGTTCGATTGATATCACGCATGGTGATAATAAACAGCCCTCTATGCTAGCTCACAATAGCCCAAGATACACACAATCAGTCGTAGGTTGGTGCAAATATAGCTGTTCGGCGTGTTGCTTACCATTCACACTAGTAGTTCCTCCATCTTTTTTTAGTTTGATGAGACTCTCCGTTCAGCAGACCTCGCGCTTTCATCGAAATGTATATCAAAAACGAAGCAAAAATTCAAAATTAGCATAGCAGAGGTAGAAGCCAGTGTATAAATTATAGTATGTCTCCCATGAACACGTGTCCCAGAATTTGATGTATTCTCTTATCATTGGCTGCCGTAAACATAAATGCAGGCCAACGCTCATTGTTCGAACTTTTGATTCTGACCTCAATATAACAACTTTTGGTACATTGAGCAGACAGACCTCACGGCCCATATCTGAAACCCAAAGCCCCGATGGATCAAGATGTTCAAGTAGCCTGCCAGGAGTATTTCGCAGAGAGTACCAGACTTGGGTTGGTAAAAAGGTGCTGAAGCTTATCTTCATCAATGACCTTTCTCAGCTTCCAAAGCCTGAATATCGCAATGAGAGCGAGAAAAAAGCACAACGTGGTCCCGGTAACTACGAAGGTCACGAGAGCCATCAGGGAGCATTGGCCTTTGTGTGACCCGAACACACTGACTAGCGTTGTTAATAATCCAGCAGCAGCGTTCAAGCAAACCGGCCTGTAAACCATCTCGTCTCAGTATTCGGCAGCCAAGTTTAAAATAGGGCTCTCACGTAAAAACGCGGTTAATCAACCACGTGTAGTTGTCTCGAAATATGACAGAAAGCCATCCAAGCACAAGCCCTCCAAACAAGAGGAAAATGCAAGCAACGATGAGCAAGGGAGGGTTCCGGATAGTATGCAAGACGACGCGCCCAGCACTATTGTTCTGAAGCGTTCTCTGGACCTCGGTGGAATCTTCTAAAGAGGCGAAAGTACCCGGCACTACAAGATACCCAGCCAGGAGTATCCAATTGGCAATACCGGCACAAAGATTATATTTCCAGTTCATTTGGGCTTCTTCCTTTAGCATTCGTGCGTATAGATTGTCGGATTTGAGCTGGCCGCAGTTGCTACATTTCTTTCGGAAGCGGTCAGGGAAAGAGACTGACGAGCGGTTCCGGAATGATGTATGACAAGCATGGCTGAATGAAGCCCAGCAGGAGGTCATGGTTCAAGATTGCTTAGTGAACAACGAGGGAAATTGTAAGCTATAAGTATACCGTACACCTCTCACGTGTCCAACCCTGACTACTTAAAAGTTGCCACTACGTTGGTACATATAAATAGCGAGACGACCTCAGCAATCTTCAACCTGTGAACGATACATCATTGTCGGGTCTGGAAGATGAGGGAGTAGTGACTACCTTCAACAGGTGCCATGATGTGGTTCATACGAGGCGACCAATTCTAATGCTTTACTGTGGACTGGGCTGCAAGATAATGATGGGACGTGGGTGTACAACCGCCTGGGAGTGGATTTCCTGTCGTTCCGTCAAAGAAGTAGCCGACTCCAGAAGCGCATTAGTAGGAATTGAAGAACATTTTGGAAGGAAGTGGGTCAAACCGCCGCGTCAGGTATGAATGTATAGAATAATATGATTGAGGAATTGGTGATAATTTTGAGGGCGGAGGACCACAAAACATATGCAAAATGAGTGAGCGCTGAGCTAGCAAAATGAGGGACTTGTCAATGAAATGTACGGATTGAGTCTACGTGGCCCATAAATGGTGTCTGTGGAGTTAAATGGGCTCCAGATGCTCACAGGGGAAGGGCTAATAGTCTCTAGGACCAATCTAGACTCTAGGAGGGCCAGCATCGCTCCTAGGACGGAAGAAGTAGCTCATAGGATACTATTTCGTACTCTCAGGAAGAGTAAAGCTTATAAAAAGCATTCAGTTGTTCCCAGAATCGCCCAAGTGGCTCCTGGGAACGCCGGTGGAGCTCCCGAGAGCAGCTGTCAGGGATATACATGAGGCGTACACGCTAAGCAGCGGACGCGGACCCACATGGCACATCTGGGTTCCCCTGAACGCGAGGAAGATATCTTTCTTCTGCTTCCTCGCGCTACGTCTTGTATCTAGAGTCGAATATAGCTTCCGTTAATATGATCCTTCATTGGCAATACACGCCCCTCATCAACAGATAAGTGATACATACCCTCACACTTTCTGAAATATCAACCGAGGAGGCTACACAGGGGCGATCGGAGGGGGGATTCGGAAGAGGCCAAAAATGCCGGATGGCTTTGAAATAGAAAAAGATCTGATGTAAATAGTCAAAATCATATAAACTAGCTGAGTTCAGAGCCCCGCAGGGGTACCTTCACATCAATATCAAAGAGTGTCCACACTGCTGAGTATCAAATAACAGAACTGCATCCGAAATCCTCAATTTTTCGATAATGCTATGCCATGCAGATACACGAAAGATACTAGAAAAACTGCATAATCTATGTAGGCTCCACGACATCACGAGTCTTGACTTATTTGTATTGTTTATTACCCGACGGATATCTTACGATATCCGCCGAGGCTGGCTCCATATCTGTACTGTAGTATTTTGAACAACTTCTTGGCATGATTATTATCTGTTAAATTTACCATGTCGCTGCTCTACCGTACCACCACACGATCCAGGTCCTCCACTAGATTGCACGTTTTTGCCATTTCCCCCGTTTTCTAGTCGAGCTCTCTTTGCATTGAGGGAACAAGTGCTCGATATTTCCATTCAGCTGAAAATTTTCACTTTCGATTAATCGCAGTAGCTAATTGGTGCATGGCTTGGAGACCACCCAATCTCGACTCCGCAACACCGAGTACAGAGCAGTGGTAAGGAATGACCCTTTTCTGTATGTTCCGTTTCTGACTCTGCTTATCAGTTCCCCTTTCCTCTTGTCCTGTAACAGACTGTTTAAACTCCGAAGGGAACGTCAATCAAAGGCACGCAGAGTACCACGCCACACGGGGAATCTCCGGTCCGGGCTATGCCCACCGCGCATGATAAATAGCCCAAGCCGTTGCTTTCCAAGGTTGTTCAGAATCGACACTCACCCCACGTGGAGTCATTATCGCAACCTTGACTGAGCTCTTATTTCTCGCCATTTCAGAAAATTGACATCATAATCTGAATCACCTAGTCCGGCCAAATCCCGCCATGACACCAGGCAAAGCCGTTAGAGCCTCCGCTTCTTTCTCTGAAGCCACAAAGATCGAGCAGCTGAGCTCTCACGCATACCAAGTCAACCTGAGCAAAGCCTTCTGTGTTGGTGCAGGTACTTATAATCTTCCATTTTGTTCCCTGGTCTCGTCTCTTCTCGCACAGTAGTCACGTCGGTGCGACGGACACATAACTAAGCAACTGTTCTGACCTTGACCAATATAGTCCCCAATGGCGGTTACACGTCTGCATGTATGCTCGCAGCAGCGAAGATTCATCTTGGCTTGCGTGGCCAGCCCGATGCCCTGACTGCACATTTCGAGTTTCCAAACCGAGCGTCAACTGGGCCTGCCATTCTCATAATCGAGGATGTCAAGCTTGGTCAGCAAATCTCCACCCTCCAACTAACTCTCTGGCAGGGTGGACTCCTCTCTCAAGCGCCATGGATCGACCATTTCGTTTCACGACGGCGGGTGCTTGCCTACACCACTCATACAAATCTGCGCTCATTCTCTGGCATGTCAATGCCCACAGGCTATGAAGTAACGCCAGCTGCTAAACTCCCATCCGTATCTGATTTCGAGGCTCTGAAGACCAATGGCGCCGACAAAGTTTGGGAAAAGTCGAAACTTCCGAAAGCATACGCGACTATGATGCCATCGCTGGCCCACTGGCATTTTTATGTTCCTCGTAACGAACCGTTGAGCCCCGGAGTGCTGGATATGTGGATCCGGCTGGCTAGCAGTGAACGCATCACACAGAGCACACTAGCATACGTGGTAGATTCATTCCCGCACAATATGCACAATTTCTTGGCGGCCCCGGCACTGCGTGAGCTTCTGAATGCGCCTCCTGACCGGTCAGGTGATTCCGATGTGAAGGAGATCCGAGAAAAAGATCAGCAGCGAGCTGAGATGTGGTTTCCGACTGTGGTAATGAATATGGAGGTGAAGACCGCTCTTCCGGACGATGGAATTGAGTGGTTGGCTGTTCGAGTGTTGTCGAAGCAAATCAAAGATGGAAAGTTCGATCTCGAAGTCCTTGTGCGAGATCCTGATGGGGCAATTATTGCATTGAGTCACCATGTGGGGATGATTCTTAACATTGTGCAGAGCACTGGGAAGAAGGGACTGTCTAAAGCTTCCTTGTAGTACCTATATTCTTGGCTTTACCGTTAATTACGATTGATGAACCATAGCCCAGAGCCGTTTATAAGGAAAAAAAGGACGGGATATCTACCTCAGCTCTAGTATTCATCTCAGCCACTAACATCCTTTCAAACCCGACGCCGACATATATGTTGCTAAATGATCGGTTAGATACTGCAATCAATCAACAGAGAAAAAATTCAGAAACCCCTTATTGATACTGTAAACCCGGGACCTGTGAATTACTGTATGCGGTTAGTTTTGCCTTTTTTAGTTTAGCGCCCCCAATACCGTGTTCTGTAAGCTCCGCTTTCTGTTGCGCCGGCATAAAAACCTCGCCCTGCCCTTTCCACCTCATTTCCCCCTCTCACCTTCCCTTCAACTCCTCTATCTTGCACTCATTATCATTACCGCCTCCTTTCGCTTTATCTTGCCCCCACCCACAATTGCGCCTTGGCTTTCAGCCCGATGCACTGCCCCTTTCATTTTACTGGAGATGCCGCTCGATCCGACACCGAGCTTGCAATAAACAGAACCCCTGGATGAAATAGGGCACAGCCGCATCATGGCCATTTTGCGCCGACCCTCTTTGCTCTGGGATGAGTGCATCATGCTGCGAAGCTGTCTAGATTTCCCTTTGCCAGTGCGCATTCTTCGTCCCTGATGCCCTTCCCTCCATCCTGCCATTTACAAAGCACTGGCTTACCCTAGATTCTGAATACCCCTTTTCGATCGGGCCACCTGAGGTTACATTGTACAGTCCCTGTGTTATCTGAATCCCGTGGCGTTCCGTTGTCGTCATTGATAGTCTACCGTTCATCCACATCCAAACAATGAATTTTCAAAAGCGCGGCGTAGTGCCATAGGCCAATAGCGAAAATGCCGCACACGCCCCTGTCCACCTCTAGCGGCCAGTCTTGAGCTTGTGACTGCGAAAGGCACAGCACGACACGTATACCAGGGGGCGAAAGAGCTGATAAAAATGACGACTGCTGGGGGCATGCATCGCGAAAGTCATAAGCAAGGGTAGTGGGAATCGTTGTCGGTGAACTACAACCCGTACTTATGGGTATGGAAGGTATGGTTTCACGTACCTGGATGCAATGGCCTGGATTACACGATTTGGTCGATCAAGGATGGAGGCTACAATCCATGAAGTTGACAAAACCAGAACTCGACTCCCTTTCAAGTTCGCCTGGCATGTCCCCCCGCCTACCTGCGCCGTCTTCCTGGATGGTTGGAGAAACATGAAGATTAGTGTAATGTGAGCCGAGTCTGATGAGACTAAAGGATTTGCTAAGAAATGAGTTGAATTGCTTGGTGAAACCGATGAGTCCCCGCTAACACGTTCCAACAAAGTGTAAGGACGCCAAGCCCCAACCTCTGTCAGGAATGTTCGAGCCATTTCTGCAGCACCTTCAATAACCCCTACACTGACTGCATTCCATACACTCTGGATCCTAAAGTGACTATCTGCAATTTGTGGAATATTAAAGAAAATTTCAAAGGCGAAGAGATTTATGTATAGTGATGCAATTGGCTGCAATGTATTCCCCACTAAAATTTGGATAATTGGCTTTCCTTTGAAAGATGTCAGTCGTAGTCCCGAAAATGAATCACTAAGAAACCTTGCTAGACACGTGATGGGTGATCGATTAATCTCTCGGGCAGAAACGTAAGGTGTCTAGGTGTCGATGCTCTGTCACCTGACACCCCAGGGGTATATAATAAAAGTACCTTCCCTCTTGCTTCGCCTCAGCTATAACCTCTTACTACATTCTTAGATCCATAATATTGAATACGACCCGTGCCCACTATGGCTACAAGTGATCTTGAATACTCTGTTGACCAAGAAATTGCTGATTTTTTCGAGAAGACTACAGCGACTCGCTCAGCGTGTGATATTCTCGCAAAGCAGCATCTAGGTGGGAACATCGTTCCGGTAGCCGTGCAAGGTGTATGCAGCTATACTGTCTACGCCGGGCCCAACGCCGAATTCGTTGTCCAGTTTCGCCTTGCATCCCTCCAATTGAATATGGAGACTGCAAATCTCGCTCGAAGCATCTACGGTCACTTTGCACCGTGTGTGACATTTTTGGGGCAGGTTGGAGAAGTAATCGAAAGCAAGGAACCTCTTTACATCTACGTCATGAGCCGAGTAAGAGGCATTAGTTACTTGGATTTTATCCTGGCACATAACCGTCAAGTATCCGAAAACTCACCTAAGTTTTCTTCATGGCGCAGGAATCTTGTAACTGATATCGCGAAGTATGCTTAGCGTTCTCACGTTCTCGTTATAAATACGCCAAATTGCTAACTACGCCCCTGTTAGGTTTTTTGCTCTTTCGTGGAAAGGTCCTCAAAACGTTGATCAAACATACCGCGACAACTTGTACTATCGATACAAAAAAGAACTGGATTCACTACTTGTTTCTCTCCCAGATCGCTTTCACCCTTTAATTCAAGAATCTCTCAATTTATTACCGACCATTTTTTCTCTTCCCATGGTGCTACTCCACAAAGACTTTGGTGTCTGCAACATTATTGTGAACGAAATGTCTTGCAATCTAGTTGGGGTGGTTGATTGGGCCGAAGCAGAGATTGCACCCTTTGGATTGAACCTATATTCTCACCAAAGACTGATAAGTAAGGTCCACCTCAAGAGTGGCTGGATCCGGTTTGACGATTATGTCGCTTTGGAGGACATATTCTGGAGCACATTCACCAAGGAAGCTGGAGGGTTGAGCAATGACACCATCAGAGCCATTAAGGCAGCAAGAATTGCAGGACTCCTGCTATCTCGTGGCTTCACAAGTCGTCTTGCGAACATGCCTGAGCCAGTACCTATTCAGGATGATGAAAGCGGAGCATATAATATGCGTGATCTGGATGGGCTGTTAATAAATCCAGCTACGAAGTTTGCGGATTTAGCATAGACGATGGATACTGAAGATAGAATGAAAAAAAGAGACGAGAGATTCAATATTCAACAAAAGTGGGCAAATGCTAGCTAGCACAGACTAAAGAATACCAGCCGTAGCAAGAGCGGCCTTCAGGTCGTCGACATTCTCCAGTTTAGGAAGAGGCTTCCCTGCGTTGAAGACTTTGTGATTGCCCGAAGTCATTACCGCATGGGTTTCACTTGCAGAGCAAACACGCGGTCTACCATCGGTCGCCTCGAATTTCCAGCCTGTGATGCGGGTCGGCACAGTGTTCTTGACATAAGTCGATTCAAGCATGACAGTTCCTTTATCGAGAATGAGTTCCGACATAGAGTAATTACCGCATCCAAGAACTTGAAGACCAATCAGACTTGTGAGATCGTTCTTGACAATATAGATAATGAACTCGTCGAGAAATCTCGGGCCAACGCCAGATAGGTCGGGAAGAGGCCCGTCCTGTAGCTCGTAAGCACACAACCCGTCCTTAGTCAGGGCGAAGATGTGTCCATGAACACAGGAGGGATCAATGTTGTCAATATCGGTGACTTTAGTCCAGCGAAGAGGGGGACTTTCAAAGTTGGTCCCAAGCATGACGGTGCTCTTAGGAATCTTGAAGTGGCCGTGGATCAAGTGAATCCCAAGTACCTTTTCGGCATTGTGACGGACGAAAATTTCCGCTAGGTCCGTAATGCACTCATCAGCAACGGGGGGCTGGTCAGAGTCATCGAGAAGTGTGTTGTACCTGTAGAGCGTCAGATACTGGGCCAAGGTCTCTCATCACATAGACAGAACAGCAGTGGATGGTAATATTGGATTCATACAGAGCACCGCTTGTGCGGAAATCCTGGATCTCGAGAGCTGTATCAAGTCCAGGAAGGATGGGAGGTTTCTCAACTAGAGCCGCCATTTTGCGAAGAAGTCTTGTCAGGGGGTGTTATGGAATGATCAATATATAAAGCCACTGAAACAAAATGGACTGAGGGGAAAAAAATGGTTTAGAGAAACTAAAATGGGAGCCAGGTCCATATTTATCTCTGGGCGAACTCAAAAAAGGCGCCTTGCCTACCAGGCTTAGAATGGGGGATTTGCGAGGCTCGAGAATGGTAACGTGCATGCGGCTGAGTGCGTCGAAATCTCATCAGTTGAAGAGGGGAACCCTGTCATTTACCAAGTCAGTGCGATCCGTAACCTACCTTTATCGATCATACTACAACCCTTGGTTAACGCAGTTCTCGTGACCAGCAATACTGCCTAGGATAGAAAAAGACGTTGTAGAAATATTGTTTCAGAGGTAGCTCTTCCTCTGAACCATCGTAATGATACAATTCGCTTATTGATATGAATGAACTATTTCGCCAAATGATGTGAGTCTCTAGTCCCTTTTCATAACCAGGACGTGGGCACCTATTGTGACTGAGCACATACGCACCGAAGTACGCCATACATCAGTGACCATAGCGGGGAACCCTGTCACTCGGGGTCTACGAGGGCCTGAGCAGTTTCAACACAGCGAATTGAGAGAGCGTATTATGTGATGGGTGATTTCTTTAAGCACAAAATCTACTGCGACAAAGTGTTTAGCGTCTGAATACAGTACTCCAGTTTGATAAGCGTGTCTTTATTGGTCCAAGAGCATCAGGCTTGAAACAACCTGAGCTGGGTACTGTGCAACACTGCATGCATTAGCGCGGGGGCTATCTCAGAAATACCAGAGGAATTCCTTTTGCTGATAGTCATGTACTCCTTTGTAGGAACCCGCTCGATCTATGAAATCTCATCATAAAAGACATCCAAAAGGGATCGACTGCTGTGCAATAGGCTCAACTCCTAATGGCACCTAACTCCGTAGCAGCTATCAAAGGACACTGCTATTGGCTGGAAGTAGGCATATCTTCGATCAAAGAGGCTCCAAGCTATGGAGGTGACCGCCATACATCAACGAATGAGCGACGCATAGCCATTGCTTTTTTAGCGCTGGGCAACCTAGACCAGCGGCTATGTCGGTGGAAGAGCAATCCCCACCTGACGTGGCCTCATAACGCATTTTGAGGGGTATCCGATTGGTGGAGCCAAAGAGGATGAACTAATGACGAGCGGGGCTTGTAATATATTCCTGGCTTGAACGTGGCAGGGGTGCATGCGCACAGCCCTGCAACCCACCTTGGGTAGTAAGGCAACAATAAGACGGGTTTTCGCCTCACCTTCGTCTCCCTTTCGACTAGTTTTCGACTAATTTTTGTTTCGTTTTCGAGACCTTGTATTCTCTATATTTATTTGTGGTATTCGGCGCTTTTCATTGGCGCTATTTCACCTTATTTTCGACGAAAACTTGACTTAACGTTCCAAGCCATGCCTCTGTCCCTAGAAAGTGCTTTGAGGCAACTTGTCCAGACCTCAAGAGATGTCGAGCGTCGGAATGGCGTGACAGAAAACGACAAAAAAAGGTTAAAGGCAGCCGTCACATTACTGAAAAATGGACACCCACCAAAGGACGCCGTTGGAGCAGGCCGCCAATCGATTTATCTCAACTTCCTTCGCAAAGTTCTACAGCTGAACGATCAATCTACCGTCGTTCTTTGCGCTATTGGTTTGGGACTGTCGACAATTGCGATCGCAAAGGAGAGCATACGACTTGATCTTCCGTACGAGCTTCAGAATCACACTGACCTTGACAACCCTGTGCTCCGGCGGCTTGCACATCAATATTTCAGTTTTGGTCTCTGCTCAGAGGTTGCCCAGCATCCCTTACAAGCTGGTGGTGGGACTATTGACCAGGCATCCGTGTCTCATAACGCTGTCGAGCATCCTGAGCAGGATGAAGGAAGCTACCAGGTTGCTCGGCAGATCTTTAGTATGATATCCCAAGCTCATACACCGTATAGGGAGCTGACATGACGAAGATCGCCCTACAATAGTTCCATCGCCAGAATTGTCTATTTTTCAGCCCGAGAAGCAGCAAGACACAGGTATAGTCTCAACACAAAGCAGGTGATAACTGGCTAACTTGACCTGAAGTGCCTTTGACTGGAGATGTCTATGAGCTCAACTTGCAAGATATTCGAGATATCATAGATTCAGGTCAGATATCTGGCGCTATATGGCTCACAGACACATATGGAGTGAACACGACATCTTTCGTCACAATTCCAGTCAGTAACGAGCTGACGGATCGATTGATCTTACACCGCCCCTTGGCAACATGGAACCAACCGCCAACTTAATTTTCATTTTTTGCTGCTATGTATCCAACTTCAACGACACCCGATGCTCTAAAACGCCAAGTGTCTTGCCATGGTATGATGATCCGGAAGCCTTGCTCCTCAGTCCCAACTCCATCAACGTATTCACCGCTTTCCTTCTCGAAAATCCGTATTGCGCCCCTGTTATGAACAACATCCACGACAATTGCTACCGTTCTCGGCGGAGGGGTAGTTGGAACACCTTTTGATGGCATCGTCCAATTTATTTGATCGCATAAGTCACATTGTACCTTGTATAATTAGTATTACTCTTGCATATGGAAATTGAACAGGCCATTATCACTTCTTTCTTGCATTCTTCGAGAACTTCGTTATCTGTTGAGCTTTCGGTGCGAATTTTCTTGGCTGCTTTGTCCATAGCAACGCTCCCTCCGTGCGCCTCTCTGTGAAGGAGGTAAGATTTCTGAAGAGAAATGGTGCTTTCATGTGTCAGATTGAATTTCAATGCGCTAGATGAGAAAGGAACATGTTTAGCTTACCTTGCCGGTCACCCTAATGAGGAAGTGAATCATCACCAATGACTTTGCTTTCGAGGAACTGCTTCTTCAATAACGAGGATTTCAGTCAAGTATGATTAAAATACTCATTTAGGGTCGTAACACCTAGTCAGGCAGCAGTCGTTGCAGCTGGCAAATGGGTGGTTGGGGAGATGAGGGGCATGAAAATTGGCTGTTGTACCATCACGTGATAATACTTAAATTGTCCGAAGTTAGACCTGAATAAGCAACAAGGTTAACTGATCTTTGAAGCCTAACAGCAATATTTCAAAAAAAAAAACAAATGTGAGGGAAACAATAATGACTCTGTTATTAAACTCGTTTTTTTCCAAATTCCTTTCTTAGCGTTCATCCAAAATCAAATATCAATCAGAGTTTGATGTGGGTGGATTCATCGAGGTCTCGATAAATTTTCGATGAATTTTCGATGAATTTTCGCATATCTTTCTTCGCAGTATCACAGTTATCGAACCCAGACATTGTGCAGATTTTCTGCACCTATCAAACGCTTATGCTTGAATCGTATGGGAAGGAAAATAGTCTCAAATATAGCTTGCTCACACAGGCGCATCTCAATTGCCTCAAGCCCATGCATCCAGCTGCATACAATATGCGCGGTACTTTTGTTCAAGATTTTGACCAGGCCAGGGGCAGGCCATGAAGATATAAAGGGAGCAACAATTCATGTTTAGGAACTGTTTGTTTGCATGAACTTGCTGCTTCTCACTTTCTTATTCAATTTATCATCAATTCCATCCTCTATATCAAACAAAATGGCACACGTTGAAAATAACGCAGACCTTTATTTTCCCGAGCGTAACATGACATCAGAAAAGTCTACATCGTCTTGTCCCCAAGCCTTGACTCCACCAGAGAGCCCGCTTGCCGCCCATCTTTTCGTGAACGACTTCAGGCACCTCCTCGAGAGTGTGCTTTCCGACCTCAAGGAGCCTTCAAACACCCCCTTGTCCCAGGAGGTTTATCAACCAGGACCGGATGCGATTGAATTGCAGAAACTGCTGAATACCTTTCTCCGCAATGGAGAGTCGCTTGGGGTGGCTGAGCCTGCCCAGTCTGATCCTGCAAGTAATGAACACGGGACAACAGCCTCGGTGATAGATGAAGCAGATCTCAGTTCCCCAATTTGCACCACGCCAGACGATTTCAAATCATTCGAGAAATGGGCTACCGAACAAGACGAAAAGATTCAGCCAAATACTGGAGCTCGGGCGCCATTGCTAGAGTATAAGAGGGTTTTGGAAAGGTAGAGGACCTACTTGGTTGTGGTTCGGCTTGGCTAATAGCAACTCAGATGGAACGAAAAGTCGTGCAAATATGAAGTCGTCGATTCCGAATTGGCCGAAGACGACGCCGACCGCTTTGAACATTACATTTTTGTTGTCCGCGAGCGCCAGGGTATGTATGTTAGACGTGACGTCTATCACCAATACTAAATTTTCTAAAGATCGAAAGTCCGAAAGAGTGACTCGATTCATCGATGTGAAGTCTGTACCGTTGTGCGATGTCCTTCGAAAGGTATTGCAAGGCGTCAGATCGGCCAACATGATAGGAGACAAGCCATCCGTAAGCGATCTTCAACAAGTCAACGGGGTATATGCTAATAATATAAAGATTGAAGAAAAGATACTTTTCCATTTCCTTCCTGAATTGAAGCAAGTAATGGAAGAGCTGAGAGCTGAGTCAGACTCCAGCGCTCAAAGTCTAGATCATCTGAGCCTGCTTGTCGAAAGTGTCACGGAAGCAAATGCTTTTGTTGCACGGGAAGTTTCTTCATTGCTTGCCCAAGCCCATATTACCTATGACCTCTTGTGGGCGCTTTTCAAACCCGGTTGTTTCGTCTTCACTAAGTGCCTGGGCACCGGGAAGCCGAGGTGTGTCGTATTCGATGCTGGGGAAGAATTCACACGAGACGGCGTGACATATTACAAGCTTGAGACACGCTACTTTGATCACGATGGCGAAAAGTTTGGTGAAGCCGGGATGGCCTTGGGTATCTTGAAGTTTCGGGGATCGAAGCCGATTGAATCTCTGGATGCCTTCCCTATTTGCTACCATCCAGATCATGACCGAGTGCGTGAAGTATTAGTTGGGACCGGTCGCAGATTCCGAAGCCTAGTTGGCAAGCACATTCGAAGGTGTGATGGAACAGCTTTCATCATGAAGGATGGCGAACCTATTAAAATGAATATCAACAGCTGCGTCGGGGTGCATGCGGCTTTTTTCAACAACATGCAGCCGAATTACTCACGACCACGAGTTCACGATAGGTTGGCTCCAAAAACAAACGGTTTTCAGATTATCAGTCTGTCCGATGAAGATCGAATGAGAGATATGGAGAAGGTTAGAAGCAACGATACGGACCTGGATCAGATGAGCGAAGAAGAGTTTTTGATCTGCTCGCCAACTGTGTGTGGGTTCAGCTTCCAGGAGAAACTTTTCAGTGAGACATACAATGCACTTTGGGGAACACATTGATTGACTTGTGATTAGTGGAATTTGCGGTTGATGACTTAAGTGACATGCGGTGGTTTCCGGAGTCCTTCGACTGCCTCAGCATCCCGCATACCTCCAAGAGATTACTCTTATCGCTGGCAAAAACTCGGTTAAGCCGCACACCAATGATTGCATTTGATGATTTCGTCGCCGGAAAAGGTCGTGGGCTAAACGTCCTTTTGCAGTCAGTGACCAAGAGCCTAAAACATAAATAACACTACTGACTTCATAGTGGTCCGCCGGGGGTTGGAAAGACTTCGACAGTTGAAGCCGCTGCAGAATACTTCAATTTGCCGCTTTATTCGGTAATCTCCTTTGATCATCCAGCATACAAAGACCGAACCTAACTGAAAAACTAGATCTCCGCTGGTGAACTTGATGTAGACCATGGTAACCCAAACGCTCTTGACGTGCAACTGAAACGCATTTTCAAAATTGCAAAACACTTCGATGCGCTGCTTCTTTTGGATGAAGCGGATGCATGGATGGATCGTCGTATTGCCTCCTATGGGGGTCACAATCGCCTGGTCACTGTGATTTTGCGAAATTTGGAATATTATGAAGGCATTCTCTTCTTGACCACAAACAGGGCCGCTGAATTCGACGAAGCAGTTCTAAGCAGAATCCATCTCAAGATCAAATATGGGGAACTCCCAAAGAGTGCCCGCCGAGAAATATGGGCATTTTTCCTCTCGAAAGCAAATACGCATCAAGGCCCTGCTATTGTTAGCGATGCTGAACTGCGACGCTTGGAATCTTTGGCTCTCAATGGACGCGATGTTAGTAATCCCCGACGATTGGCTTTAATATCAACTTACACTATTAGATCAAAAACCTCACATCTACGGCACACGCATTGGCCAGTGACGCAGGTCAGCAAGTTAGTTATGACCATTTGCAAACAGCTGCGGAGGCCAATGAAAAATTCTTGAAAGAATTTGGACATAATGAGGGAATGTATATTTGACCAGGTGGTCTTCCTTTCTGTGACACAAAGCATCGACAGTTTGAACCGCAGGCCATATACGAAGGCCTTTCACATAGTGTTTCCTCCCCCGCCCACCCCCCTCCATTTTGCTAGTACTAAGTTTAATTCAAATTGAAAGTTTTTTGCTCAACGACAATGATTTCCGTTTTGGTTCCATAGGGCAAATTTGTCATTGAATGCGAAACAGATATGACGTAACAACATATTTTTTGGATTAGGACGGGGCAGATTCTGGCAAGCGGGGGCACATGGAAGAACACCGTAACGATTGCACAGTCGCTCGCCAAGGCGAATGAAGCTCGAGTCACCTAATATGTTTGTAGTTGGCTACGAAAACAAGCAATAAATTTGCGGCGGAGTTTGGGAGACAGCGCCCCGTTGATGAAATGTATGTTTGTTTAGTGCAAGGTTGACTTGACTTTGATTCCGCTTGAAGAATATCGAGCATGTCACATATGATCGCAACTATGCGACAATATTATGGGAAGATTCCGGATTGAACATTAAGAGGCATAATCACATGTTTGATACCTGACGTTTTCCCACGTCAACAATTGTGGCTCGACTGGCTTGGACAGAACCATCCGCGCTCAAAGAAGGCAGAGTAACGGCATTTCGAAGCGAGTACAAAACAAAAATTTATGAAAAAATTGGGGACGCGAATCTTCCCGTTTCAGGAAACACGAAGACGTTTCGTAGGTTCTGTCTCTGTTCCACATTGGCGTCGCTTTGCAGCTTGGAGTCGATGTCGATTTGGCCGATATCTCAAAGTAAAGCGATGGAAGTCGATGATTAAGGCCCGCCCTAATTCCTCATTCCAAAGAATATTGTCACGCCGAAGATCTTCATGGACAATTCCCAAAGATTTGATTTCCTTGTAAGACTTGCGCATCTCTTCGCGAAGCCAAGGCGACAGCTCCATCATTGATGTGCTTTCCCCACCCCAGCCCATGACGAGCATG